TTCCCTGTTACTTTCATAACACCAACCTGGTTATAATGCCACGTGTATTGTTTAAGGGATTTCAGCACTTCCCTGTTACTTTCATAACACCAACCTGGTTATAATGCTACGAGTATTGTGGAATTGATTTCAGCACTTCTGTGTTACTTTCATAACACCAACCTGGTTATAATGCCACGTGTATTGTTTAAGGGATTTCAGCACTTCCCTGTTACTTTCATAACACCAACCTGGTTATAATGCCACGTGTATTGTTTAAGGGATTTCAGCACTTCCCTGTTACTTTCACAACATCAACCTGGTTATAATGCCACGTGTATTGTTTAAGGAATTTCAGCACTTCCCTGTTACTTTCATAACACCAACCTGGTTATAATCCCACGTGTATTGTTTAAGGGATTTCAGCACTTCCCTGTTACTTTCATAACACCAACCTCGTTATAATGCCACGTGTATTGTTTAAGGGATTTCAGCACTTCCGTGTTACTTTCACAACACCAACCTGGTTATAATGCCACGTGTATTGTTTAAGGGATTTCAGCACTTCCGTGTTACTTTCATAACACAAACCTGGTTATAATGCCACGTGTATTGTTTAAGGGATTTCAGCACTTCCCTGTTACTTTCATAACACCAACCTGGTTATAATGCTACGAGTATTGTGGAATTGATTTCATCACTTCCGTGTTACTTTCATAACACCAACCTGGTTATAATGCCACGTGTATTGTTTAAGGGATTTCAGCACTTCCCTGTTACTTTCATAACACAAACCTGGTTATTATGCCACGTGTATTGTTTAAGGGATTTCAGCACTTCCGTGTTACTTTCATAACACCAACCTGGTTATAATGCTACGAGTATTGTCGAATTGATTTCAGCACTTCCCTGTTACTTTCATAACACCAACCTGGTTGTAATGCCACGTGTATTGTTTAAGGGATCTCAGCACTTCCGTGTTACTTTCATAACACCAACCTGGTTATAATGCCACGTGTATTGTTTAAGGGATTTCAGCACTTCCGTGTTACTTTCACAACATCAACCTGGTTATAATGCCACGTGTATTGTTTAAGGAATTTCAGCACTTCCCTGTTGCTTTGATAACACCAACCTGGTTATAATCCCTCGTGTATTGTTTAAGGGATTTCAGCACTTCCCTGTTACTTTCATAAGACCAACCTGGTTGTAATGCCACGTGTATTGTTTAAGGGATTTCAGCACTTCCCTGTTACTTTCATAACACCAACCTTGTTATAATGCTACGAGTATTGTGGAATTGATTTCAGCACTTCCGTGTTACTTTCATAACACCAACCTGGTTATAATGCCACGTGTATTGTTTAAGGGATTTCAGCACTTCCCTGTTACTTTCATAACACCAACCTGGTTATTATGCCACGTGTATTGTTTAAGGGATTTCAGCACTTCCGTGTTACTTTCACAACACCAACCTGGTTATAATGCCACGTGTATTGTTTAAGGGATTTCAGCACTTCCCTGTTACTTTCATAACACCAACCTTGTTATAATGCTACGAGTATTGTGGAATTGATTTCAGCACTTCCGTGTTACTTTCATAACACCAACCTGGTTATAATGCCACGTGTATTGTTTAAGGGATTTCAGCACTTCCCTGTTACTTTCATAACACAAACGTGGTTATTATGCCACGTGTATTGTTTAAGGGATTTCAGCACTTCCCTGTTACTTTCGCAACACCAACCTGGTTATAATGCTACGAGTATTGTCTTATTGATTTCAGCACTTCCCTGTTACTTTCATAACACCAACCTGGTTGTAATGCCACGTGTATTGTTTAAGGGATCTCAGCACTTCCGTGTTACTTTCATAACACCAACCTGGTTATAATGCCACGTGTATTGTTTAAGGAATTTCAGCACTTCTGTGTTACTTTCATAACACCAACCTGGTTATAATCCCACGTGTATTGTTTAAGGGATTTCAGCACTTCCCTGTTACTTTCATAACACCAACCTGGTTGTAATGCCACGTGTATTGTTTAAGGGATCTCAGCACTTCCCTGTTACTTTCATAACACCAACCTGGTTGTAATGCCACGTGTATTGTTTAAGGGATTTCAGCACTTCCCTGTTACTTTCATAACACCAACCTGGTTATAATGCCACGTGTATTGTTTAAGGGATTTCAGCACTTCCCTGTTACTTTCATAACACCAACCTGGTTATAATGCTACGAGTATTGTCGAATTGATTTCAGCACTTCTGTGTTACTTTCATAACACAAACCTGGTTATAATGCCACGTGTATTGTTTAAGGGATTTCAGCACTTCCGTGTTACTTTCATAACACCAACCTGGTTATAATGCCACGTGTATTGTTTAAGGGATTTCAGCACTTCCGTGTTACTTTCACAACATCAACCTGGTTATAATGCCACGTGTATTGTTTAAGGAATTTCAGCACTTCCGTGTTACTTTCATAACACCAACCTGGTTATAATCCCACGTGTATTGTTTAAGGGATTTCAGCACTTCCCTGTTACTTTCATAACACCAACCTGGTTATAATGCCACGTGTATTGTTTAAGGGATTTCAGCACTTCCGTGTTACTTTCACAACACCAACCTGGTTATAATGCCACGTGTATTGTTTAAGGGATTTCAGCACTTCCCTGTTACTTTCATAACACAAACCTGGTTATAATGCCACGTGTATTGTTTAAGGGATTTCAGCACTTCCGTGTTACTTTTATAACACCAACCAGGCCAAAATATCTGAGTGACAACGAAGCAGTGGACACACACAAAAAAAGAAGAAAATTCAGATTCGGGTCATGCTGTTCTATTTTATCTTGTTCACGATTATTATTAGCAAATTCAAGACACAACATTGAAAAGTGGTCAATATTTTGAAATATCCAGTTACTAAATTGAAAATTCAAGTTATTAAGAGAAACAATACCTTAAATTCATTGTTGAATTTTAGCTATCTACCTGAGAAATATCGTACACTATCTTGAAAATCAAGTTATTTTGTTGAAAATTCAAGATACAATGAATTCAACAACTTCACAAGGTTTCACTCTCTGCTTTGTGCAGAAAATTGTTAAGCCTGACACGCATTTGAATATTCAGGATAGCATCTAAATTTTCAACATACAAAGTAACACTCTGCAGAGAGGTCATCAATAATAATTACTGGAATAAAATTATTGAAAGTATCTTACGAAATAAATATCAGCTTGAAGACATCGCAGTTTCTTAGGAGGCATTTGACCTTTTATTATTTTAGTCACATCAGAAAACTCTGCAGAATGTTTAACCCTTATACATTACACAAACAAACATGAGCCTCTTTCAACGTACTTTATAGCAAGTGTTACTTTCAGTTTGAAATGTTTCACTTCGTGATTGACTGTTACCACTACATTTACGATATTGACATAATGAAAGACCAAAACAATGCTACAAGATAACTACAGCAGATCTGCTCGCGCAAATAGATTTTCAACAAAACAATGACAACAAATACATAGAAGTTATGTGTGAAAGCACTTGCCAATATGTAAACAACATCCGTAGTTGCTTATGGACACACAAGATGACATATTCACAAGAACTAATTAACCAAGTAAATTACACAGCTACAATGCGATGTAAAACAGTGTGAAACAAACAATGACATATTTTAACCCGTGTCCCATGGGTACCCTAAAAGCAAAACACTTCATTCTCCGAAGCCATAACATTTTCAGCTAGCAATAATTCATTTACCTATCATTCGAATAACATTTCCATTATTTTATCAATGGTCGCCTTCCACTTTGATAGTGTCATATGCATTTCACCTCATTCGAGGAAATTGGTATTGTTTCTATGTAAATCTAATGAATATATACTCTTGCCGATGGCTGCCGACGACAAAACGTTTGAAAAATGAAACGTTGAACAAAAGTGTAACGTTACACTCACATCTGTAGTGAATCGCTAAAATGCACCCTACATGAAATTCACGTGCATCATGAAATTGTGTATCACCTTGAGCTGAAGCCTATGACTGTAGGCTTTAAAACGCCACATCAATGGTACTCCACATGCATTGCTTTAAGCCACTATAGACGACAAGAGAATGAAAAGACTTACAGAAGCTCAATGACAGAACGCCATTGGCCGTTTACAAGGACGGTCACTGCAGCATGAGGTGGCAAGGCACTTCAGCGTGTCCAGACAGACCATCTCAAACCTATGGATCCGATACAACAATACTGGGGGTGTTAATGACAGACCCAGGTCAGGTCGACCTATCTAGAGTTAACACCGCTGCCCAGGATCGCTACATCCGGTTGAGACATCTTCGTTCAAACACCACGGCCGCATCATCCACGACAGTCCAAATCCCTGGACTGCGCCGAATCTCGGACCAGACAGTGCGCAACTGGTTATTGGAAGCTAGACTTTTTGCCAGAAGACCAGTTCAACGTCACGTCGTTCCCTTCATCAACGTCAACGGCTGATCTTTGGACCATGACAAAGCTCGACCTCACGTTGCAAGTGTTTGACTTCCTCCAGCAAAACAATGTTCAGGTCTTGGCCTTCTCGATCACTCAATTTGTCCCCCATTGAAAATCTATGGGATACTGTTGATCGACACTTGAGCCAGCGTAATCCACCACCTCAGACACTACAAGAACTGCACACAGCGCCTCAGCAAGAGTATCAAAACATTCCTCAACACAACGCATTTGGCACATCCTTTCTTCTATGGGTCACCGCTGCCAAGCTGTTATCGATGCTCATGATGGTCACAACAGATACTGACATTTTACTCTTACCAAGTGGCTATAACAGCCCCCTGTGGTTTTACCAAACGCTTTATGGATAACTATGTTTTGAAATTTGTAAAGTGATGATTTTACTGTAATTGACCAATGGTGTCATGTTTGAATCAGTTATATGCATTCAGTAAGCAAATTCTAAAACAGCATGTATAGATTCTTTTTTGAAGAATTTTATTTTATTCTTGTTTTGGATTAGACGACACATAATCGTGACAGTTACTCTCTATACCTTATTTGCGTCCTCCACATCAGATGTAACATGACGTTTTGTGTCAATGTCAGACGATTTTCTGGAATATTTGCCATCCTTGATTTGTTTTCGACAAGCATTTTTAACGAGAAGGAAAGTGCGTTTGTTTGCCATGAAAGCCAAAAAGATGAACACGCCCTGAGCCCCAGTCAGACAAATAAACAGGTATGTGAAAACCTGACTGCTTCTGTCAACCATTTGCAGAAAACCGAAGACCCAGGAGAAACCAGTGATGCTAGATAGTTTGATGTACATTAAAATGTTCCATTTGTCACCATTGCCGACCTTTCGTCTGTTGGCTGAGGCCCTACACAGGTAAACGACGGTCAAGATGAAGAGAGTAAAACTAACCAGGATGGTCACTCCTGCTGGGACCAGCAAGCCAACGATACTGTTGGTTCCATTGGAGACGAAGCAGAAGTTTGAGGTATCAGCATAACCAAAGGATTCAGACCCTGAGACGAAGTAGTTTGCTGTCATCGTTGCAGCAATAACAACAGCAGGAGTGCCATAACCACAGATGCAGTATTTGAGGATGATTGTCCTTTTGTTTGATTCAAAACTCCGAGATGCAAATACGTCCTTAAAGACTCTGAAGGTGTGGAAAGAAGAGATGTTGAGCCAACAGAAAGATGCAAGCCAGAAGAAGTGGATGACTACTCCGATCGCTATACAAGCTGTACGATTGTACGCCTCGTCACTCCCAAAGAAGAAGGTGGCATGTGCCAAGAACAAAGATGCCGACAAGAACATAAGAATCACTCCAGGAAGATTCCTCAGACTAGAGAAGAAACAGTGAAAGATGAAAGTCAGAAGCAGGAACACTTGGCTAGACACCAGACAGATGTTCGTCAACACCACAGTTGGGCGGTTAAGATCAATTTTAAAGTTTGTGTTTGAACCTTGTGAACCAAGAGCTGTCACACATACTTTGAGTTGTCCTGATGATGTGAGGATAAAATCGTTTTCATTTATGACCCTACCACTTTTCAGAACTACAGATCCATTAGGGTAAATGTTGAATGTTGAGTTGTTTAAGATGATATGAATACACTGCAACCGTGAAGTTGTTGATTGTGTATCAGCTATTTTAAGGACGTGGTCAGGAGATGTGTTGGTTGATGCTGTGACTGCTGAAGACTCGTGTGATAAGTCCTCGTCCTCACTCGTTCCCGTGGTGTTGTGGTGCTGCGAATGTCCACCAGTATAGTTGTGTGTAGTCGAGAGGGAGTAGGGGGTATGTTCATTAAATTGTATGGCATCGTTTTCTCTGGTAGGTGTTGATGGCGACGATGTAGAATCTCTTGTAGTGGGAGGTGAATTCACGTGTACTCTTGTTGGATGTTGAACATCCGTACTTGTCGTAAGTGGTTGCACGTATGTTCTTGTCGTAGGAGGTGGTTGCACGTGGTGTTTTGTTGTAGAACGTGGTTGGATGCTTGTTCCGGCAGTATGAGGTGCTGACATGTATTCCTGTGTTGAAGTAAATGGGCGTGGCGTTGTGTTTTGCCATGTCACGTGACAACTCTGAAACAGTCACCAAAGCTGAGGTTGTTATGATGCACATTCAACCGCAGAACATCACCGATCTGAACGTATAGACATACAGATAAAATGTTACTTGAATTTACCGAAACATGAGAATTTACCGAATTTACTGAAATATGAGTGAATGTATATAATTTACACGGTGAAACAAGATTTCAGACTAAAATATGAGCAAAGATATAAAAGTATGCTTCAGACGTTTTACAAAAGTGGCTAGGCCCTAGAATACATTCTTACAAGATGTTTTGGGAAACTCATTGTTTATGAAGAAAATATCTGGGTTTGCTTCTGAAACTATATCTAGAATCAATACACAATCCAAAACCTCACCCCCCTCATCACCTGGTCAGTCCCTCAGAAAGTATTTTATTCTAGGGTATATATGCCTACTATGTTATCAAGGGTGAGTGAGGGTGTAACACAGTCATTTCCAATTCTCCCCCCAACCAGTTTAATCAAGCCAGTTCCTTTTGCAAACCGCATGATTTTACATGATTTAACTTAACATCTAACCTTGCAGTTCAGTGCCTTTTCAAGGTCACGGCAGTTATATTAAAGCAAACATGCATCTGCATTGATTAACAAGTTAAGTAAATGTTAACTTACCCCGTCGTAGTAGACTTGGCCAAAGGGACAATCGTTGACGTGGTGGACTTGTATACTCAGGAGCCTGTCCAACGGATTTAAACCAAACCCGTTGTTTACCATTGCTGGTACGTTGACCCACTTTACTATAAATTTCGTTTCAGGGACTAACATTGTCCTTTCATAATCTGTAGTGAACGGTACGGTGGATGTTCTGTCTTGAGTATCTGTGGGAGACACGGTGGATGTTCTGTCTTGAGTATCTGTGGGAGACACGGTGGATGTTCTGTATGGAGTATCTGTGGGAGACACGGTGGATGTTCTGTATGGAGTATCTGTGGGAGACAAGGTGGATGTTCTGTATGGAGTATCTGTGGGAGACACGGTGGATGTTCTGTATGGAGTATCTGTGGGAGACACGGTGGATGTTCTGTATGGAGTATCTGTGGGAGACACGGTGGATGTTCTGTATGGAGTATCTGTGGGAGACACGGTGGATGTTCTGTATGGAGTATCTGTGGGAGACACGGTGGATGTTCTGTATGGAGTATCTGTGGGAGACACGGTGGATGTTCTGTATGGAGTATCTGTGGGAGACACGGTGGATGTTCTGTATGGAGTATCTGTGGGAGACACGGTGGATGTTCTGTATGGAGTATCTGTGGGAGACACGGTGGATGTTCTGTATGGAGTATCTGTGGGAGACACGGTGGATGTTCTGTCTGGAGGATCTGTGGGGAACACGGTGGATGTTCTGTATGGAGTATCTGTGGGAGACACGGTGGATGTTCTGTATGGAGTATCTGTGGGGAACACGGTGGATGTTCTGTCTTGAGTATCTGTGGGAGACACGGTGGATGTTCTGTCTTGAGTATCTGTGGGAGACACGGTGGATGTTGGGTCTGGAGTATCTGTGGGAGACACGGTGGATGTTCTGTATGGAGTATCTGTGGGAGACACGGAGGATGTTCTGTCTGAAGCAGCTGTTATAGACATGGGGGATGTTGGGTCTGGAGTATCTGTGGGAGACACGGTGGATGTTCTGTATGGAGTATCTGTGGGAGACACGGTGGATGTTCTGTCTTGAGTATCTGTGGGAGACACGGTGGATGTTCTGTCTGGAGTATCTGTGGGAGACACGGTGGATGTTCTGTCTGAAGCAGCTGTTATAGACATGGGGGATGTTGGGTCTGGAGTATCTGTGGGAGACACGGTGGATGTTCTGTATGGAGTATCTGTGGGAGACACGGTGGATGTTCTGTCTGGAGCATCTGTGGGAGACACGAGGGATGTTCTGTCTGGAGCATCTGTCAGAGATACGGTGGATGTTCGCTCTAGAGCATCTGTCAGAAATACGGTGCCTGTTCTCTCTATAGCATTAGTGAGAGAGACGTGTGGGATGTCGTGGATCTGTTACAGACATTTGGGTGACTGCCACGTGGATCTGGTTACAGGTTCTGTGACTGCCACGGTTGGATCTGGTTACAGGTTCTGTGACTGCCCATGGTTACAGGATCTGGTTGGATCTGGTTACAGGTTCTGTGACTGCCATGGTGACTGCCATGGTGGATCTGGTTACAGGTTCTGTGACTGCCATGGTGGATCTGGTTACAGGTTCTGTGACTGCCATGGTGGATCTGGTTACAGGTTCTGTGATTGCCATGGTGGATCTGGTTACAAGTTCTGTGACTGCCATGGTGGATCTGGTTACAGGTTCTGTGACTGCCATGGTGGGTCTGGCCACAGGTTCTGTGACTGCCATGATGGATCTGGTTACAGGGTCTGTGACTGCCATGGTGGGTCTGGCCACAGGTTCTGTGACTGCCTTGATGGATCTGGCTACAGGGTCTGCGGCTGACATGGTGGGTTTAATTACATTGTCTCTGCTTGACATGGTTGATCTATCCCCCGATCCATTGAGGGCCAGGGGGAATGTCACAGCAATGATGACAATACACATCGACACTACAGTCCGCATATCTGGTGCCATAGTGAAGGATGTGAACTGACAGCGTACATATAACTGTTCCATACACTAAACATACCTCTTTTTCAAGAGTCAAGCCCATGTAAAGTTCCTGCTAACAACCTCAAATACCATCACATCGTTTTTCCAGTAATGTATTTATGGACTCTAGTCAATGGTGTGGTCGTTAATCAAATACCCTGCTATTACAATGACAGGTCTGCATAAATAATGCGAAACGAACAAAACTCGATAGAGAGTAATCGGATGGCACTTTTAACATTACGTTCTACCGAGTAGAGTGGCAAACAACTAAACTCATTTGTTGATTGCTGACGTAGGAGAAGTGATTGCTTTTTTAATTATTTCTCAAACGTTGTAAACGCACGAGTCAGTTAGTTTCACCTCCACAGAAATGATGAGTTTGAGGTTGTTGCAATATTGAAGAACACGGAGTAAAACACACAACACATCATTTTCGAAATATTTGCTTCTTACTGTAATGAGATACATCTTTAAAAGTATGCCTTTAGTAGTGAAATTATTAAATTGTTTATCCCTTGAATGGAACACTTTGTACAGAAATTTTTTTCAGCGTTTATTAAGGAAAAATCTTGAAGATTAGCAAGTCATAAAAAAACATTAAACCTTTGTTTTGCTTTTAACAAATATTGGGGTTGATGCTTTTTCAGTAAAGTGCACATTCTAGAACATTATGGAGTCCTATAAGGGATTCGAACTGGGAAAGTGGGGCATCAAATCACCAGCAAATCAATATTCTCACTCTCAGGGTCATTTCATTCATTCGGGAAGGATTAATCCGCAGTTATTCATAGCTCGTTCATAATTCTCTAATCATCACATCCTTGTTATCTGACAAAGTTGACGTTTTCAGGTAAGTATTTATCTGGTCATTCGATGAGATAACAAATACGTGACAAGAACATACAGATTCTCCATTTAGATTATGTTTTCCTACTGAAAAATAGTTTCATTTGCAGCTGCACTCAACAGTTTATCAGTTATTTCACGGAGTGTCACATTTTTTAGAACATGCCAAGACAGACGAGACAGGTTCCTTCCAAGAAAACCTCGTTTTACGAAAATGTAGGCAACTGCCTCCTACTCAGAAGTGGAAATATTAGTTCGGTTAATCCTGTCCATGTGACGTCATTTAATAGTCATTGAATGTCATGGACAATTGATGACGTCAATTAAAGAGTCAGTATCTTGACATGATGTCATACTACGAGCCTGAAATACTTCTGATATGTGCATGATATAGATATCTGTATGATATTGAAGAATGGCTTATATCATTAACATAAGCGTAATATTGACATGCACATGTCGCTAGTTTCTGGTCACGTGATATGAAATCACATATACCCCAGTCATAATGTTTTTGATCCTCAAAGGCCGCCCGGTGAAGCACATTGAAGAGCGGTTTACAGCAGTGGGAGACCCACATGGGAATTAATGTACGATGGTTAAGTACAACCAGTTTATATTAACTGCCTGGTGATAATGCCTGGTTATAATGTATTGTGGAACGGATTTCAGCACTTCTGTGTTACTTTTATAACACCCACCTGGTGATAATGCCACGTGTATTGTGAAATGGATATAAGTACTTCCGTGTTACTTTTATAAAACCAACCTGGTTAAATATACTTGAGTGACAATAAAGCCTAGGACACAAAAACAATGAAGAAAATTCCGATTCGGGTCATGCTGATATATTTTATCTTGAAAATCCATTACAGTAAGAAATTTTCACAACTATTATTTGCAAGTATCACATACTATCTTGAAATATCACATACTATCTTGAAAATCAAGTTATTTTATTGAAAATTCAAGATACAATGAATTCAGCAACAGCACTTTCTGCTTGGCCTGGTAAGCATTTTACCATTCAGAATAGCATCTTAATTTTCAAGATACACAATAACACTTGTGTGGTATAAATGACCTCTGCAGGTAGGTCATAAATGATAATTATAGCTAAAATACATGGAATTATCATGAAACGGCCCTCACATTATCAGAAATCTGCGGGCCGCTGCAAATGATATTGGACCGCTCAACCTTAACGACGGGCCACTATCAGTTCTGTTGTCAAGTGACGTCATAGTGGGTGCATGGGCTTACGGTTCATTCGACATTAATTGGCTTTCGACTGGCAGATATTCTGGGTAAAACAAGTCAAGCAACCCGAATTCCCGCTTTAAATAGCGGTAATATTGGCTTTCTTGTTGGCGCTAACCTTAACAATTAAGGCTGTTGATGGACCAAAACAGAACACTGACATAGTTTGACATGTTGTAGGCTATGGTATAACGCCAAGGTCGAATATCGTCACTTTCTGTTGTGACGTCACTTGAATTGTTCGATGACGTAATTGCATTCGGGCAGTCAACCCCGT